AATGCAGTATTATTTTTCTTGATCTGCCGATTCTACTGCTGATCTTTCTAGACATTACGATATTCTCCAACGTCACTATTTTCTTAAAATGACCAAATACAGCTTGTAGTTTTCTAACAGTTGTATTACTAGCTTTTTCCATGCAATACATTTTTGTTTTTACGGTGGCAGAAAAAATATATGAATGATACAGGGACCAGTATCAACTTATTTTATTATATGGTACCATCAGTAAAGTTCATAACAACATGATACTTGAAAAAAAAAAAAAAAATACAGGAAACTAATCTGGCAGGTGAAAAGAGCTGAATAACGAGAAGAGTATTCAACGAAAAGAACGGAAGGGGAGGGGAAAAGGGGGGGGGGTGTGGGGGTGGGGGGGGGGGGGGGGGGGGGGGGGGGGGTTTAGTCTCAAGAGATGGAGAAATAGCCGCCTTAGACAGTTTAGAAACTGCGAAAGAAGGAAGTATTGCAGGTCAATTGAAGCCAACGTTTTTGTCACGGCCAGCTCCAGATTTTATATACAGCCGGACGTGGTTTTTGTGTGTGGAGTCAGCAGCTGTTTGATTGATTGATTGGTCACTGGGTATGGCATGAACGAAGTTCTTCAAGTAAGTGTAAGATAGCCTGATAAATACTGCAGAAGCGTTGAATTATTACGTGGGAAATTAATCAAACTCGACCAACAGGAAGATCTTCCACGGAATACACGCATCTTCTAATGAGATCTTCGCTATGGACATGGAGCAACAGAGCAAACCAGAGTCATACTTGGCACAGTCTGTCTGGCTGTCATTCTTTATTTCTCTTTTCTTTGTTTTTTTCCCTTCCTTTCTTTTTTCTTTCTTTGTTTTTTCCCTTCCTTCCTTTTTTCTTTCTTTGTTTTTTCCCTTCCTATTTTTTTTTCTTTCTTTGTGTCTTTCCTTCCTTCATTTTTTCTTTAGATTCTTCCTTCCTTTTTTTCTTAGTTTCTTAGTTTTTCTCCTTCCTTTTTTTCTTAGTTTCTTAGTTTCTTCCTTCCTTTTTTTCTTAGTTTCTTCCTTCATTTTTTTCTTAGTTTCTTAGTTTCTTCCTTCCATTTTTTCTTAGTTTCTTCCTTCCTTTTTTTCTTAGTTTCTTAGTTTCTTCCTTCCTTTTTTTCTTAGTTTCTTCCTTCCTTTTTTTCTTAGTTTTTTAGTTTTTTAGTTTTTTAGTTTCTTAGTTTCTTAGTTTCTTAGTTTCTTAGTTTCTTTCTTAGTTTCTGTCTGTCTGTCTGTCTGTCTGTCTGTCTGTCTGTCTGTCTGTCTGTCTGTCTGTCTGTCTGTCTGTCTGTCTGTCTGTCTGTCTGTCTGTCTGTCTGTCTGTCTGTCTGTCTGTCTGTCTGTCTGTCTGTCTGTCTGTCTGTCTGTCTGTCTGTCTGTCTGTCTGTCTGTCTGTCTGTCTGTCTGTCTGTCTGTCTGTCTGTCTGTCTGTCTGTCTGTCTGTCTGTCTGTCTGTCTGTCTGTCTGTCTGTCTGTCTGTCTGTCTGCCTCCCTCCCACCCTCCCTTTCTCCCTGCCTGCCTGCCTGCCTGCCTTCCTTCCTTCCTTTCTTCCTTTCTTCCTTCCTTTCTGGCTTTCTGGCTTTCTTCCTTTCTGGCTGTCTGGCTGTCTGGCTGGCTGTCCGGCTGGCTGGCTGTCCGGCTGGCTGGCTGGCTGTGCGGCTGGCTGGCTGGCTGGCTGTCCGGCTGCCTGGCTGTCCGGCTGGCTGGTTGTCCGGCTGGCTGTCCCGGCTGGCTGGCTGTCCTTCCGGCTGGCTGTCCGGCTGTCCGGCCTGCCTGCCTGCCTGCCTGCCTGCCTGCCTGCCTGCCTGCCTGCCTGCCTGCTTTCCTTCCTTCCTTCCTTCCTTCCTTCCTTCCTTCCTTCCTTCCTTCCTTCCTTCCTTCCTTCCTTCCTTCCTTCCTTCCTTCCTTCCTTCCTTCCTTCCTTCCTTCCTTCCTTCCTTCCTTCCTTCCTTCCTTCCTTTCTTCCTTTCTTCCTTTCTTCCTTCCTTCCTTCCTTCCTTTCCTTCCTTCCTTTCTTCCTTTCTTCCTTCCTTCCTTCCTTCCTTCCTTCCTTCCTTCCTTCCTTCCTTCCTTCCTTCCTTCCTTCCTTCCTTCCTTCCTTCCTTCCTTCCTTCCTTCCTTCCTTCCTTCCTTCCTTCCTTCCTTCCTTCCTTCCTTCCTTCCTTCCTTCCTTCCTTCCTTCCTTCCTTCCTTCCTTCCTTCCTTCCTTCCTTCCTTCCTTCCTTCCTTCTTTCCTTCTTTCTTTCTTTCTTTCTTTCTTTCTTTCTTTCTTTCTTTCTTTCTTTCTTTCTTTCTTTCTTTCTTTCTTTCTTTCTTTCTTTCTTTCTTTCTTTCTTTCTTTCTTTCTTTCTTCCTTTCTTTCATTCTTTCATTCTTTCTTTCTTTCTTCTTTCCCTCCTTCCTTCCTTGCATCTTTTCTTTCATTTTATTTTCGCTTTCTTGCATGGCTGATTTCTGTATGTTTTTAATTTGTCCCGACTTTACAATGGAGGTTAGTTACAGCGGCTATGCCCACCCACGTTAGTCTTTCTGAGGACTATATAATGAGACCCGAATGTCTTCCACGGTGTGACTCTTGAACCGAGTTGGAAAGCCATGGTCTTTCCGTAACCGGTATGGATACCCTAACTATAGCGTCATAGGAAATTGATTGTTTTATCTTCTTCTTCTTCTTCTTCTTCTTCTTCTTCTTCTTCTTCTTCTTCTTCTTCTTCTTCTTCTTCTTCTTCTTCTTCTTCTTCTTCTTCTTCTTCTTCTTCATCTTTTTCTTCCTCTTCTGCGTTCACCGGCTGTAAACTCCGGCGGAAAGTCCTAGCTGTTCGTACATTTGGACTTTGGCTTTGTGCCGGGGCCTGAGTTTTGCGAGTACATCCATTTTACTGGCTTCTTTGTGTGCAGTTGGTTGTTCCTGGCCACTCGTGCAGATGCACTCCGACTTCGAATGAAGTCTCCAGTTAGTCGACTCCTACGACATGCTTGCTGGGAACGCAGTGGGTCTTTTTATGTATTCTCTGCAATGGAGCCTTGATACCCACACGGGGAATGTAGTATCTGGGATATGCCATTTGGACTAGCACTCAGTGTTAGGCTTATAGAGATCCCAAAGTGTCAAACATGCCGGTAGAAAAAGACACACAAAAAAAGTAGGCGGAAAAATGGTGGTGGTGGTGGTGGGGAAAGGGGGGGGGGGGGGGGGTTGCAGATAATCAGCTTGTTAAATTTGCAACACTAATTACTGGAACAAAAAAGAGAAACGTGCAATGGGTTATTAAAAATTCAGCTTTTGTCTTTTTTCTAATCTCATCTTCCGGTAAGGTGGCCGTCAGGAACATACTCGTAAATCACAAAAGGTTTAGTTACATTTCCCTGGGATTTGTGTTGCTCTGTTTCTGTAATTATTTGCCTAGTTGAAATTTCTAGTTATAAGTTTCACTGTGGCTTAGAAAGTTAGTGAAATAGTTTCCTAATGCTGTCCTCGACGTTTTAACAGGGCGCGAGTGCCGACAGGGGTATGGAAAACGACTGTTCTAGTCGCGGCTTTTACCCAGTGGTATGAGGGTCGTACTGTTGAAGATACTGGGACCTCACAACCTGATATTCCTATAGCTAGCACAATAGACTACTGTTACTTTGAAACAATTTTGTGAGGCTCCCGTATAACTGTGCTATGCATCGTCCGTGGCTAGGGCGTTACAAGTCTGACTCGTTATCCAACGTACCGCGATCGAAACCCACTGCAGGCTGCGTGGATTTTTATCGTGGCATGGGACGTCGCAGGATGACCCAGCCTCAAATGGGTACCAGGATGGCTGTCCTGGGGAAGTAAAGACGGCTGGTGTAATGCTGACCACATTACCCACCGAGTGCCGATCGGTCTGTAAAAAAATATGGGTGCTCTTCCCATATGCCCGATGCGCATACAGGTGTAAAAAGGGATCTTTACTTACTTCACTATATAGGCAGTGGTGGATTTATAAGCTAAATATGCTATAGCAGAGGACCTCACATGTTCACACACACACAAAATAAACAACAATATATTTAATGGCCGTAGACCACGAGGCAGACCAATAAGACGATGGAGAGATAATGTGCATAGAGACCTGCAAACACTTGGTGTTACAAACCGGAAAGGGAAGGCCAGCCAGAGAGATGTGTGGAGGCATTTGATATCTGCAGCAGTGTACCTCAAGGACTAGGAATGGTAGGTAGGTCAGTTGTACCCCACCAGGACGTCACATTTTCGATAAACACCTGGTGATACCAAGTGCCACCATGCGGATGAGGATCACCCGTGAAGAGGTCCCGGAAACCCCGTTCAGCGGTTAGGCCATATTTCAGGCCCGGCTATATTTAGGGCCCCGGCAAAAGCCAGGTATGGGGCTTCAACATAACTAAAAATTGCAGCCCACATGGGGACAACAAGATTACTGCTAACTAGGAATGCTGAAGAAGAAGAAGAGCCGCCACGCTTTATATGACTTAGGCCTCATCAAGTTTAAATCCGCCCTGTGTGTGGCAATAAGGTTGAACAGAGTTTCTGAGATTTGTAGCTCTTTGGTCCCCACCCGTGAGATGTTCAGTCTACAAACTGCAATCCTAAAAATTAAAATACAAAGGTATAGGTAAAGTCGGGAGATGTGAACCAGCGTCATTACACGCGGTTATAAACCAGAAGTGCTCTGCCACCAGTACGGACAGCTGATTAGAAACTGTCCGTCTGTGTCGCTGTAGCTACAGTGACGTTCCTCCATTTACACCAGTGTCGACTCTGGTACCTATTACCTAGAGGCTGGGTCAACCTTGGGTACCGGTCGCGTTTTCGAACACCGGCCGTGGGTCGCAGTGAGTCGCTGCTTGATTTGAAAGTGTCTCCTAATGACAGCGCTGAGGCGGCTCCTAAAAAAAATGGGGGGGGGGGGGGGGGGGTAAAAGTAAACACACACACAAACACAAAAAGGACATACGTTCGTACATACCACCTTTGCCTTTGGCTATAAGATTTCGAGCTCTCAGAACTGTGGAGAATAAAAGAAAAACAATAAGTTCCGGTGCAAGAAATTATGACAAGACTGTAAAAATCCGGTGCCACCTTCCCAATTTGAGATGAAAAACAAAAAGTAGAGGACCCTTTTCCCACGCCTTCAGGCGTATTGGACATTTAGGACCAGACCTATATTTTATAGATCAATGGGCACTTGGGTGATGCGTTAACAATACACCGGTCGCCTTTACTTCCCAGGACTGCACATGGTACCCACTCAAGGCTGGGTCAACCTGGGCGCCAAGGACAATTCTGAAGAAAGCCCGGCTCCTCAGGACCCGAACCAACGACCTTCCGATTCTCAGGCGAACGTCTCTCCTCGACCTCACAAGGACGCCGCAGTGGAGATTAGCGGCAGCAAATTTGAATTTTCATTTAAGAATCAACATCATAGCACTCGGGATATTTCCATAAGCGCCGCTACCCCGTCTTCAGTAGCACCCGCAAAGTTCCAATCCTGATAGCACCAGTAATAGCTTGACTGTATAACCGTCTCGCCTTACCCTTGTGTGTTGAGCATCGGCCATGTCCCCTGGTCACTCCTTGCAATAAAATTCACCACATGCGTGTGCCGTTGCACTTTTCACTCGTTCTTAAGGAATCTTGTCATGTATAAGTTCACTACCAAATAGTGCTGAACCAGCCAATCTATCTGTCAGTTCATTTCTCAGCACACCAGTAATTACATGGAGAAAATAACTGCACTGAATATGCATTCGGTGTTGTTTGTGAGTAGATACCAGTTAATATTTTTTTTTTAAAGTTCCTTTTCCACGCCTTCAAGAGTATTGGGCATATAGGGCTAGAAGTATTTTTTATAGACCAATCCGCACGGTTGGGTGATGTGAATAGTATCACGCCAGCCCGCCTCTACTTTCCAGGGCTGTACCTGGTATTCATTCAAGGTTTGGTTGACCTGTGGGCCAATCTCATTTTTAGAGAAAAAAAAAAAGGTCCGGCTCTGTCAGGAATTGAACGCACGCCTCCTGATTTGAATGGAATATCTAGCCGCTACACCACGACGGCTCTATGCGAAGATCAATTTAATTTTATGTTTTTTTTTTTTCAATTTTTTTTTTTTTTAAAGCAAAGGGTCATTTTTACGGCAGTGTCGAATTTTGTATATTATGCTAGACGTTTATTTTTATAGTCCAATCGGCAGTCATTGGGTCATTGGTGACCCGGTCGCCCGTTGGCAGGTCAGTAGACGACTTCGTTGCCGATCGGGACAGTATTTGGGCCTGTCTCCTTTGATGGCATCAACACTGCAAGAGCTCCCTTTTCATGGCTAGTTGGTGGCGAGCAATGCTAAGCCGTTTTATATAGCGCACATTAGCCTATTCACAAATATAACCTAAGGCTCCCCCTGTGGGGCATTCCGGTTAAAAGTGCCACATTTTTTTTTCCACAGCACACCAAGCAAGACTCATTGCGCGATGTGGTCGACACTACTCCACCAGCTTCCTTTTCTTCTAAGGACATTTACCAAGGTACCCATTATAGGAGCCAAATTCAATGTTGGCGGAAAAAAAATCCAACACGATGCGAATTCGAGCCCAAGCTTGTCAAATCAATGAGCCATCGCCACCCTCAAAAATAAAGTGACCAGGTGCATATCTCATCGACAGTGCGATTCTCATACCAATGTTTGAAAGCCCGGAGAATGGCCGGTTGGTACCTTGTAGAACTTTCATTACCTCTGTTACTTCTATTGACAATGTAATCCGATACGCAAATTAGACAAAAGACCAAACAAAATAATGTTTCTAATTTTATAAGAAAGCGCCGCTGGAACTATGCACTCGGAATGGGTAAGACAAGACTTCCCTATCAAGCACTCTTATGAACACCGGAGAGAGGAAAGAAAATGAGGAAGAGCAAGAGAGAACCCGTGTAGAACCATCCCCAGGAAAGGCTCAACCAAGGGCCTAATGAACACATAAGGCCTAAAACAGATGGGAACGAACCGCCAGACAAGGAGAGCTATGACCTCTGTCTGCCCTAGGCTCAAGATGAAGGATTAACTAAGTAATCTCATAGGTGGCTATCGTGAATTAAAGATGACAGAAGATGTTTGGATCGATAAAATTGTATGCAAACTGGACATGTTGTTGTTCGTTTGTCACAGGTGATGAAGATCGCTGTTTCTTTCATCTGTCATAAATCTAAGTTGACTGTAAGTCCGGGATTGACGGGCTCAGAAGGATCTATGACAATGAAGACAGGGAACAGTATCTGTAGATAAAGCTGGGAATACCTGGTATATGTACTACATTTGGATTGGTAGGACCAGGATCCAATGGGTCGTACATGACCTACTTTATTGCTACGATTTTTTTTTGGGGGGGGGGGGGGGGGGTGGTTTAAGTACTCAGGGGACGGACAGGACACACCGAAAAAACGGGACTGTCAGAGTAAAAACGGGACCTATGGTCACCTATTACTAACACATCGATTGCCTTACTGAAAGTTGTTGATGTTCGTCTCGTTAGCCCTGGGTGGTGACGTCACATCAAGCTGGTGTCATCAGCCCCAAGGCTCATCTAAAATAAGTCATGGGTCGTACTGCATAGGCAGGGGGTACGTGGAATGGGGAGGGGGTACCTGGAGTGGGGGGGGGGGGGGGGGCTTAGGACAGAAATCGAGACGAAAAAGATTACAGACAAGTGGTTAAATAATGAGTGTCTGAGAAGAAACAGGTCAAATACATATGGCGGCAACAATGCTCCTGAAATCCAATGCATTCACTGTAGAAGCTTATTCTTAATACAAACTGATCATGCTAGACACCCAATCCGAGGCCAAGGGCTGGAATTTCCATGCCTCTCTACTGCACAACGAAACACCCCGTCACTAACGACTCTAATAGCAACTGTTATGGTGTAGTGTTATGGTGTAGTGTTATGGTGTAGTGTTATGGTGCAGTGTTATGGTGTAGTGTTATGGTGTAGTGTTATGGTGTAGTGTTATGGTGTAGTGTTATGGTGTAGTGTTATGGTGTAGCGTTATGGTGTAGTGTTATGGTGTAGTGTTATGGTGTAGTGTTATGGTGTAGTGTTATGGTGTAGTGTTATGGTGTAGCGTTATGGTGTAGTGTTATGGTGTAGTGTTATGGTGCAGTGTTATGGTGTAGTGTTATGGTGTAGTGTTATGGTGTAGTGTTATGGTGTAGTGTTATGGTGTAGTGTTATGGTGTAGCGTTATGGTGTAGTGTTATGGTGTAGTGTTATGGTGTAGTGTTATGGTGTAGTGTTATGGTGTAGCGTTATGGTGTAGTGTTATGGTGTAGTGTTATGGTGTAGTGTTATGGTGTAGTGTTATGGTGTAGTCAGGGGAAATCTTTTAGCCTGGGGATTTAGGGCCGCATGGCTAGTGCAGTTGCTGTGCAAGCAAAGAACCCTGTGATCTTGGTTCCTAGGTCGACCCAGCCCTAATTGGATTCAGTTGTAATGACCTGGGAAGAAAAGGTGGCCGGCGTGATGTTGACCACATCAAAGATAAAGTGCAGAGTGATTTTTTAGAATATGGGGCTAGCCCTAAATGCCCAATACGCCTGAAGGCACGCGAAAAGGTCCAATATTTTTACTATATGTCCAATACACACGAAGGCATAGAAACGGTCCTATTACCTTTCTTTACTTTATGCACACAAAGGCATGGACAAGGGCTAATTACTGAACTGTACTTCCTTTTCTCCGCACTCCGAGAGCTGTCTATTGATAGTGTTTGTTAAGTCTTCTTCTTCTTCGATCCTTCTGTCAGAAAACTTATATCAGGAGGCCGGTAGCCTTTATGAAAGCTATCGTGCAATCCATATCCTCTCGTTTACCATACAGTTTTTAGTGTGGTTGGAACAGGCCAGATTGCGTCTCTGTTGTCAGCGTACAGTTGACAGTGTTGGAGCACATGCTCAGCATTTTCGGGTGTCCCTCTGCTGGGACACGTCTCCGTATTTCCTACACCGAAAAATTTGAACATATGTTGACGAAATCTGTTGTGCCCAGTGCTTAGTCTGAATATAATGCACTGTCCCTCTCTAGAGAGACGATGAAGTGAGTCTTGGGGAGTAAATCTGGTGTGGGTATCCAGCCACCTTTCTTGGATACTAGATTGTATTAATGTTTTCATCTCTTTGTGGGTTAAGTCGCTATTTGGTTGTACCATGTCACTGCCGCTTCTGGCCAATCTGTCCGCTATTTCATTGCCTTCCAAGCCAGTCACCTGGAATCCACTGCAGTACAGATTGTCCTACTGAAGAGCCAAAGTAAATCAGCTGTTGCGTCAAAGTGAATTATCTCTTGATAGAAGCTCGCCTACGTTGACCTCTACTTTCAAAGCTATCTGAGGTTATTGTGACAGTCTTGTCAGTTTAGTCTACCGCTACAAGGTGGAGACTAGAGAACAGGTTGGGTAGGGAATAATGTATGAATACCTACAAGTGGCCTACAAGCACAAATTCCGGACAGACAAGATAAGGAAGAAAATAGCTGGGCTATACAGATTTAGAACTCTTCGCTTCTAAAGTAAGGAAAACATTGACACCGTCCGGAAGTCAAAGCGACATACAGGAACATTCTTAGACTTCTTTCGGCGTTCTCATTCTGTTTGTCTGCGGTTCTTTGAGAATATCACTGTGACAAGTACTTTGTAGTTAAAAACAGTGAAAAGACAGGAAATGCAATGATCCCGTGATGTACCAAGACCAACAGGCCTCTTTAAAGTGATATCAGAGGGCTCTGCAGAAGATAAGATTGGAAGAAATGACAAAGAAATACCTGGATTCAGAATTGTTAGCTGAATGGACTGGCCTGAAACATGCAAACAGAAAGACCTGGAGACAGAATTGTTAGCTGACTGGACTGGCCTGAAACTTGCAAATATAAAATTCACTGCTTCTGACCGTAGAGGTGGAGGGGCCGGTCAGACAGTCAACAGCAAGTGGTGACTCGCGATGTTATAGGCTTAGATTGGCGG